TAAAATGTATTGTATTTTCATGTGATTTAAAGGATCGAGTCCAGGACCGTCTTTTTAGATCCTAGGATCGGACCGGACTGGATTCGCAATTTAACACCCTAAACACATGAAATCCCGTCTTTAGTTGGATAAACCACTTTAGCACAGCTACAAAATCAAAAAATATCGGGTTTCTTCAATAAAAAAAAAGCATTCTTTCTACTAGTAAAAAAAAAAAAAAAAAAAAAAAAAAAAATCAAAATATTCTATAACATTAATGAAAATAAGTGCTTCCGAAATAACCAAGAAAAATTTTTATGCGATACTCTGAAAAAATAAGTTGACATGAACATTTGAAATGCACTGAAATTGCTAATTAATAAATTTGTTTTAATATTAATGCAATAATGTAAGTCAAAGTTCTCAAAAGCCATTTCCAATTAGTTAATATTAGGTTCTTTCGGGAAAATAACTTTCAGAAATCGTACAGTAACCCTAATATAATACTGCAATAGGTGCTAGCTTGCTACTAGTAATTAAATAATTTTAAAAATTTTACATTATACAGTAGTAATATTTGATAAAATTGGCGAATCGTTCATACGAAATTATTTACTAAAAAACTTGAAAGTGCTAAAACTAAAAAGAGCAAACAATTAGTATTGAACAGCAAAAAGGGTTACTTAAAAAAAAAAAATTAATATTTGAGCTTTAATTGCGGCACATCATGAAATTTTTAGCCACCCGAAGACTACTAGACATCCATTAAACTTCCTTTGTTGTATTTAGTGATGCCGACTAAACGTTTTAACATCACTATGTTTCGGGTTTTATCATATATATCGTAGTTAAAATTGTTAAAATAAAACTAGATATAACTGTAGTTAAAATTATTGATTAAAATTAAACTACCGCTATGATCAAATTACGTGAAGTCAAACTACTATATAGTGATGCGGTAGAGTCGTCCCAATGAAGTTCCAATGGATTTTTTGATACGAAAAGTTTCGGCGTGGCGTAAAGCTACAAATAAGCCGTTGCCGTATCTCAAAAATTCATTGGGACTTCATTGGGACGATTCTACCGCATCACTATTACTGTATTATAAATTAGAATTAACAATTCTTACTTATTTCTATAGGGGGTTTCAGAATTGGCTTTTTTCAAAAATAAGTTGGAGTTTAATTCTTTTTTAGAATTCGAATCAGAAAATTAAATAGGCGTAGCCGGTAATAAAAATAACTTTTTTTGATAACATTCACCGGTAAGCGATTATGTAAATAAGCATGTACTTTAAAAAATAGAATTTGTACGTCGCTTCTTTTAAAATAAATACATCATTTATTTTATCTGAAATCGGACGTCGAATCATTAATTCTGAAACCCCAATATGTCGAATACTAATTTGAGTGCTACTAGCGAGTGTTCAGCTTCAACTAATAAATATAATTGGTCGGCCTCGTAGTATGGGATGTGATGAAAAAATTGGAAAATACTATTCTGTTCGATTAAAATATTGTCCTAAGCATTGGCAAAGAGGAATACCAACCATAATGGAATCACATTTAGCAAATGAATGTTCCAATTGTCCAGAAGACATATAAAAATACTGGCAAATAAAATTCATAATCGAAATAATATTCGAATTCTTATTCACTGCAAACATGCAGGATTTGAAAATTTTACTTATGCTAATATAAATTGTACCAATTATAAAACATTATATGAGTGCCGCCAAGGAAAACCCCTAATCGGGCTTTCAATTATATTTTGTACCGGACATATTCTCTAAGAAATTAGATAGATTTTGTCCGGTACAAAATATAATTGAAAGCCTGATTAAGGGTTTTCCCTTGGCGGCACTCATATGTAATTCATAAATTTTAGAAACATTAAAGCCACTTGCGCGCATGCTTTTTCTCGTAATGTCTAATAAAGTGGTAATGGTTAATAAAAGTTTCATCACATAAACCACATGGAATATCCTCTTTTAACGATCTTGAAGATTCCGATTCCGATTATTCTTTTTTCTATGGTCAATTATAAGTAAATTATTTAGAGCTTATACATAATATAATAGAAATGACTACAAAAACGTATATCAATTAGTTGTTTGATCAACTCAACATCCAATGTAAATTCAGACAGAATTTCATCCTCATCAACGTCTTTCCATCTATGAAGGTACTGATTCTGTCCCTTCCTGTATATATAAACTTCTTTATATTCTGGATCTATCAGCCATCCAAGTTGGACGGCCGATTCTTCAGAAAGGTAGTCTCTTTAAATTTAGAATCTAGCTTATTGAAACCTGATTTTTTTGCAATGTTTGCGACTTCAACAACGAAAATTGGGGAAAATGGTTCACCCTTGAAGGTTGTACGTTGTTATTCAGTCAAGTTATCATATACTCGCCTTGGAATAAATGCAACATCTGGAGCTTCAATTGTCTTTTTGCCACCAACGTTAAAATTAATCCTCCTTGAGAGAAGGTTATAATACCATTTTGACCAGTCATGACATTCCAATTCCTCAGTTGTGCTCCAATTTCACAAACAACAGTTTCAAATTTTATAGGAGTCTGCGGCATTGGTACAAGTTTATTATCTTTGAATTCAAAGAGGTCTACGGGTTGCCCATCAATTTCGATTGGATTTTTTTTAGGCTGTTTATTAATCCACTCAAACTCTTCAAAAGTATAAGTACGTTTAAGGTCCAAGTTTTCAAGATCTATTTTCTCTTTAGACATGTTTACGATGACTTTGTTGAATAAAAAAAAAATTAAGACCTAAACTGATTTTGGCATTTATAGCAATTTTATTACCACGTGATTAGCACTTAAAGTAATTGCTGACTATTATGATGATAGAGAAATTCAGTCAATGTTAAATATGAGCGAAACTCTGTGGCTTACCTTTATAAAAGATATAACTTACACCTTTAATAATGCTATAGCTAGTGTTGTAAGGTTGTAACTTACATACCTTACATGTAAGTTACATGTAAGTAGTGATTGGACCCGTCAAAAAAAGCGCCACCCGGGTGGGTTAAAAAAACAACCTGTCGGGTGGACTCATGAGCCATCCGGGTGAATAGATGCCCCCTGTTATTACGCACACTTGTATATACAAATATATTTCTAAGTAATAGTGGTAGTTTGTTTTAAAAGTCTTTAGCATTAAAATAAAATAGTAATTTTTTTTGGATCGGGTAGAAATTTACTGAGAATTCATTGTATATTATACTTGATATGTAAAAAATATTAAAGTAATTCTCGAGCGACTTTTATCAATGGTAAGATTTTAAAGAAAAAAAGATAGTTTGTAACTCGCTGGTTTTTCATCGAAATGGTAACGTTTAAAAATTTACCTCCGATCCACCCTTAGTCCGTTTTGAAAATTCTTTTTTTTTTAAAAAAAAAAGGCAATTAATATACATACAAGTATATGTTATATGTTTGGATTGAAGTTTAGTAAAGCCTTGCAATTATTGTTTACGGGTCACCCGTCAGGTAACCCACCCGTTTCCACCCGGGTGGCCAAAACTCCAACCGGGTTACCCGCCCACCCGCGGGTGATCCGTTGGCACCTACCCGGGTCCAATCACTACATGTAAGTTACATCCAAAATTTGTGATATATGATAAATTATTATATATAATACAATAAATAAACCTAGGGATATTAATCGGTCTTTTGGGACCGAATCCTAACAGTCCTTACAAGGATGCAGGATTGGTAAGGACTCGGTCCTTAAATCATATAAAAACACAATACATTCTATATCCTGAATTGAATTATTATAACAATACAAAATTAATTGATTGGATGGATTTATTTGATAGATTCAATTCAGGATCTGATACAGGATCTAAGTTCTATAAAATGTATTGTATTTTCATGTGATTTAAAGGATCGAGTCCAGGACTGTCTTTTTAGATCCTAGGATCGGATTCGCAATTTAACATCCCTAAATGAACCAATCAAATTAATATAATATATAATACAATAAAAAGTATAATCCTTTAGAACTAGGGTTCTGCAAATGCCCGTGCCCGGCACATTGGCACCAGGCCAAGACTAGTGCCTTATGTCATGTCTATGCCCATAGACACAAAAGATATAAAATACCAGTCACATTAAAGATATGGGCACAAAAGTGCCAGACACTAGTAAAGACATGGGCACAAGATGCCAGAGTGGTGCCAGGCACAATTAAATAATAAATATCAAATTTCTGTGCCTGTGCCCACACCCATGCCAAATTTTTGTGCCTGTGTCCATGCCTATGCCAAAATTTTAAAGCCATACCTATGTCCATGCTTAAGTATTCATGCCTATGCTTGTGCCTAAATTTTTTGGGCACATGATCCAAAAAAAATTACTATTTTATTTTTAATACTAGACTTTTAAAACAAACTATATACAGTATATACCAAGGATATAACTATTATAATATTTAGAAATATATTTGTACTGTATATACACTTCTATTTTACCTGAGCAACTCCTGACAGGTTGCTTTTTTTAACCCAACTGGTTTCTACCTGGGTGGCTCATAGTGACCCAAGTAGCATTTTTTTTGACAGGTCCAATCACTAGCTAAAGGCTTAGATAATTTTGTAAGATATTTTAATAATAAGCAGATCTCAGCCAATAGAAATTAAGCCATGATACAGTAAGGTGAGTTTTGTTTAAGCTGCATTAGTCCTTTAATGTTATATAAAGGACATAACTTAGATAAGGTTGGTTATAACACTTATGTGCAAGGAAGAGACACATAAGCTCACTAATTCGTTAATAATTTTCTTATATTATATGAACCAAATCACCAACATCATGCCTCTAGTGAGTTGTCTTATTATATAAATTCTATATTTTATAGTATATATAGATTATTAAATATATGAATCACATCAGCAAATTATATAAACGTAATCTTACGTAAGATATTACGGCCCGTAATATTGCGCAAGAATTACAGTCTGGA